GAGTTCCTTTCTCTGACAGTAAGCCAAATCATACCTTCCCCGGTATGCATTGGTTCCCAAAATTAACCACTTCCTGCCGAGTGGAATTTGCATGTGCGGGATGAGTTCCCGGGGAATTTTCAAGATTTTCCATTTTGAAAATTCTTCAAAAATTCATAACTTCATTTACTATATGTATAAACCCACACGCATGACTGGCTGGTGGCTACTCTAATCTGACAGGCAACCTCCATTGATGCCTGAGTATTTCAGCCAGGCCTGGCGCCGAGTGAAGAGAGCCCAGATTGTGCGATGTTGCGTAATTTCCTTTGTTCCCGAAATTGGCCCAGTGCGTTGCTGAATGCCAGTGGCATCTTTTCAAATGCGGCCGCATTAGCCTGCAGCGGTACTGTATTGCTCATCACTGGGGTGCTTTTGTTCCCGCTGATAATCCACTGGCACTGAATGCCACAAATAGTGATATACTGTTTCAAAACAATAACGGATTACCACCGCTAATGCCAACTGAAAAATGATCGCAAATCCCAGCAGCTTGGTCTTTTGTTACAAGGCTCAGCTCTTTTGTCCGATTTCGGTAACCCTTACCCCAGCTATACATACAAACCCAAAGTTCCAGTTCCAACTCCAGAGGCAAGTGGTTAACATGGATGAACAGTGCTTCCGAAGCAGTGAAATATGTTAACGTCAAGTGTTGTATTAAACGAGTCACTAACTTAAGTGACTTGAGTCGAGTCACTTGGTCACAGAGACTTGAATTGAGTCGAGTCACTTAACTTGTCAGGACTCGCCAAAAATTGTGACTCAAATCAGACTCGCATCGAGTCACTGACTCGAGTCATTACAACTCTGGTTTACTTGTCTCATGATCTTTTCTTTGTAAAAAATGTAAATGCAGTGATGCGTGCCTTGTCGTTGGGGTGATACAGGCTTTTTCAGTTCTCAGTCTGTTATTTACGTAGTGCAGTGTCATCTTTCACAGTTGAAGCATGCGTTGGTCCACATACAGCTTCAAAAGGCCTTCAAAGGACCTTAACGTCATTTAGGGCAGAACGCTCTGCAGGTGCAGAGCCTTAATGTATATAGACTTCATTCACGAGGTGGCCATATTTAATTGAAAGCAAAGTAAAGTCTTCATTTTGGGAAGTTGAGTCTAGAAATAAATGCAATAAAATTACATTAGATTGCAAAATCAATACCTGTCTACTCTGACAAATATATTATGTACAATTTGTCATTAAAACGTGCCTTAATGTTTTCAGTCTCAATTGAAATTGATCAATTGAAATCAATTGAAATGGAGGCTTGGCATGCACTCTAATTATGAAATAGTCTGGCACCATCTCATTTATCAGTTTACAATTTGTGTAATAGGTTCAGGGAACACAATTAAACATAGATTGCACGTGAATTTGTCTGTTATGATTGCCGGGTCTTTCATGAAACTTATCCTTGGCTTGGAACCATCTGTGATAGATTAATAACTGAAATGGTTAGTGCCGACTTCAAAGTACATCTCTTTTTAGGAAACAGTTGTGGTGTTATTGTTGTTGGCTTTTTTATGGGATCGCCAAGTAATTTATTGCACCGGTCCTGAGAGGCGAACTCGTTCCAAGAATTTTTCATCATCAAATTTGCTGTTGAATGAAGTATTTTATTTTATTTCGAGCCATAAAGTGTACATATTTGAAATAGCATTCTGTTTTGACCGAGTTTATTATTTATTGACTGTTCTTAATGAGAAGCAGAAGTTGTCTTTTATAAGGAATTCAGACTTCAAAGTCCTGCCACTCTGTGAGATTGAAAGCCATCTGACTTCTGAATGCCATGAAGGATGTTCTGATTAATTATAGCTTTTGTGTAAATTATGTAATGAATCTTGCTCATCAAGATGTGATTTAATACACAAACATGCACTAGCAATGCAATACACTTCCAAAGATATTTAAAACAATCTTTAAATACATGTGTAGTGTTGTCCTTAATATCTTCGTTCTTGTGAGCTCAAGCAATATGCTTTTAGAAAGGATGTGAGGAATAAGTAATAGAATGGACCATATTTGTTCAAGTAATTTGACTGATTTGTAGTTTGTCTTTTTTTTTCATTGTATGTTGATAGTTACGATGAATTTTGTTTGCAGTTTTAACTATGTACTTAGGTATGATTCTTTTTAGAAGAATGTCATTCTGATTGGCTCAGTTTATGTAGTTTTTGATTATGTAGTCCATAAAGACATATTCTGCTGCAGATCTTTTTCCTTTTAATATCGGAACAAGGTACTGATATAAAGAAGTTATGCAATTGTAATTTATAATAAGTGGGAATTTTAAATAGAAAATGTTGTATGTGAAATATATACTCAGCAATAACAAAATGCTTGAACATTTCAATAATTCAAAAGCACTTTTCGCTGGCAGAGTGTAATATATGACTTGGGGTGTGTTGTAACAGTTTTTTCTAGCATTTTGTAAACACTGAACTGCAAAAAAAACCAAGCAAATGACATTGAAATAAGTTTCTATACAGTATTTGTGCCTTAAATTATCACTGACTGACTTTTCTAATAAAAAAGTATATGGGAAATGCTGCTTTGTCTTATTCCATTTGTTACACCTTTGTTTGTTGTTTAGGAATGAAAATATTACCTGTAATTTCAAATGGGAATGGAAAGGAGGGGACAGTCTATAACTTTCCAACAACCAAGTGTGATGTTCCAAAATATACCAGCCGAATGTTCACATCTAAAGCAGGGATTGTGCCTACCAAGTCGCATGGGGGGTACCCCTTGGTCTCATTTCTTGCTGGGTATAATGCTAGCAGGTATATAAATACTGTGAAGATCAGAAAAGTGAACCAAAGTTTCCAAGTACGGGGGAGTTACATTTGGTTCAGTGTGAGGGTAGTGTAAATGGGGTAATGCAGAGCTTTGAGGGGTGGAATGGACTACAGTGTAATGTAATATGCAGTTGTGTGGCGTTGTACCAGAGTGTAGTGGCGTGTGATGCAAGATGAAGTGTTACATAGTGTAGTGTCTAACAACTTATTTCTAGAGCTCTTGCTCATGAAAACTGTAAAAAATTTCACAAAGGCAAAACTATGCACAGACAAAAAGAATACTCTTAAGAAGCCATCTTCATTTATAGCAAATAGTTTTAATTGACCATTGATTAACACCAAGATACTTTCTGTTGGCACTGTATGTACATATTTTATATATATATTTGTCAAGGTCAAATGTCAAACTCCAACCAAACTTAAACGCCCTATGTCCCACTATGAAAAAAGTCAAGACAAGCAACTGCATTTGTATATGTACCTGCAACACTTGAGTAGAGCAGAAATTTCACATCACCAGCATTCACTTGTGTTGCTGCATTAGATTGGGGGAACTGACTGTCAGTCCAAGTGAGCATTGCTCACAAATCTTGTTACTAACAAAGCCAAATACGCCTCTTCTGTGTGTCGCAATCAATGCCAACTACGTGAAACCTTCCTCTTTTCTGAAACACCACTTACTCCTAATTGTTCCTTTCAAATTGTTCCCATTACAAAACCAGAGTAGCTGGAGGCAGTTCTAATGGGAGTGATATGCACCGTCATCAAACCCTGTAGGCCGATACAACAGCTTCCATGGAGTAAGTATCTCAGTGACTGACAGAAAGGTTTGGATAGTAAAAAGAGTGCCCCGAAGTTCACTCTCAGAAGTTGCGCATGTAGGTAACTGCAAGGCTCAAAATCTTGCGCCAGTGGTGCACTACTTAATTGTCACATATTCCAAAATGGAAGCAACAGGAAAAGGAAAAATGCAGGAATGGAAATCAACTTTGGCTTTTTTTGCTAATTTTTTTTCTAAATTATATCACCCACTTCTACAACAACAAGTTAATTTCTACATCGATATATATCTCTTCTTAATATCCAAATGCACTAGAATGCAACATATTTCAACCTTTCTGCCTCACAGAAACTGAAAATGAAGAGTCAACTTTGCCTTGCCAAGTAAAGGTTGGAATTTGACATCTTACAATAAAACCCAAACAAATGAAATTACATGTACATAAAAACATATTCCATGCAGTAATATGCACTATTTTAACACGTAACTATAAAATAACCACTAGCGAAAGAGTGGTTCTCAAAGTCTGTCATGAACAATCCGACAAAAATAAAAACTACTGCGGCATCCACAACCATTCACAATCCATGCAGATTGACCTCTCTTGACCTGGGCTTACTCAGCCTGATAGAAACTATAGAAGACTGGAAGGGCATGGTAGTGATACTCAGGTTGAAGACAGAAAAAGGTGAAGAAAAAAAATTCATTTCTTTTTTTTTTTTACAGATTAAATGAATAAAAGGGGCGCAGGATTTCTTGAATCTTTAAATGCATTACCTTCTACAGGGAAGGCCATGTAAGGCCTGCCCTGGTCTTATGTTGTGGCAATGAATCAAATTGCCCAGATAAGGTATGACCATTAGACCCTATTTCCCTTATTATTACGTGTCTAACATTTACAAGTGCACAACAGAGCCGACCGCCAAATTGTGTAAGGTGGAGAATCCTTTTCAACTCTTCATTGTGCAACTTGTTTCACATCCAACGAGAAGAGCAGTTGGATATTATGAAATACAAAACATTTCTTCAGTTACATAAGCCTTACTGAGGCAACACTTTCCTTTTCCCTTTTTTTTACGGTGATGTAAAAAACTGCTCCCATGTATGTCGTTCAAATGTCATTTTATCTCTTGCACACAGAAATCTTACAGAGTATCTTATTATGAAACTAAGTGTCTTAGGTATCAAATCAAATGGATCTTACAATTCCAGCTATCAAATTGCTTTTCAATAAAAGGAAACAAATAGGCAGTAATGAAGACAACCTCTGCCTGTATTTGACAAATAGAAATAATTGTCTTTGTTTGCACAAAAAGGATCAAAAACAAAACAAAAACTGTTGGGTACCGCCATCTCAAATGTCCTCAAATTTGGTTGTGAGATGTAGTCAGAGTAGACAACATCACTCACAAGCAATATGGTAAGAGAAAAGCCCATCACATTTAATTCCCTGATGCTCTGAAAAATAAAGCAGGCTCTGAAAATCAAATTGAATGGAAAAATGGATCATGTATCAAACACAGCTTTACAATGCTGAATGGACAGGGACTCAAAAACAGGAAATCTGGACACCTGACAACAGGCTGACGCACGCATTACTGCATGGAAATAACCTTGAATATATGCTTCTCTTGAAATACATTCTCATGTGAGCAAGTGTGGTTCTTGCAGAGAGGTTAGAGGAGTAGAGCTGGCTGGGGAATTTGGCTCCAACAATCTCAGCTGAACCACCGAAGAATCTGCCCTTTCTAGTGCTGAAATGTCCTGAGACTTTGTTGCAAATAAAAACTTCGCAACATTTTCCAAAATTTCAGAAATTCCCCCCCCCCCGAATATTATAAACTACCTGTTTTCTTTTCTTTTTCCCCCCAACCGATTCCCCCAAAGGTCTGACATTCAGATCCTAACTGACAAATGATCAGACTTTCTTTAATCCCTTCTGACATTATCAGTAGGGCCACGTCTGCAATGTGGACACGAGTCTGACCAATGTACAAGTCTGTTACAAACTTCTCATATACTAAAATACTTGTAGATTGGAGACATTAACAAAATTGACAGCAAGCGTGGCTTTCCTTTTAAGATAGGAGTCTGCATTAACAGCATATCTTAAATATTAGTGAGTAATTTGGAATAATAAATAATTGGTAGTTTACAAATTGGAGTTATTTTACACCCAAAAATTTGAGGGTTTTGGAAAGGAATAACAAGGTTAGGGCAGACAAATCATTGACTAAAAAAAATGGGACTTTCACTCTTTCTTTATCCCGTAATCTTCTCATGAACACAGCTCTTGTCTCAAGCCAGCAGACAAGACTGTCACTTTCTAGAACTATCAGTAGTAGGACCTCATCCCAAACCGACAGGTGCCCTCAAGCAATTTCTGAACTGATAGATTATGAATACAGTTCATCAGTTTGAAAATGCTAGTATTCTACCAGGGCTGCGTTTTCCCCCGGGGTACCTGCTGTCAAAAGCCAGTCCCCCAGATTTGATATCCTATTTGTAGGAGACTGCATTTTCTATGATTAAATATACACAATTAAGTTTTGTTTTTAATGGCGATAGCATTGTATTTATATACATCAGGAGACGTGCAGAAGATTGACACTGTGCCACAGAATCAGGGAAGGAGGAGGAAGGGGTGGGCAGGACAGAATCATTTATGAACAGCAACTCCCACCGCCCTGCTTTGGTGCCTCCTCATCATCTACGATGGTGACCGTCTTTCTTGAAGACCTTGACGATGATGTGCCTCTCCCTAGATCATCTGAAGGCGTTGATTCTAGCATTCCTGCAAACACAGAGAGCATGGCATGCTTAAATATCGCTTTCTTTTTGTACTGCAGTACATGACACTATTCTTGTGAGCTAAATGTATTTGATACAACTCAGTGGTAAAACAATATCCTGTCATGTGCCTGGAAGAAAGGGCATTCACCCTTCTTTTCTGATACAACTTACAATGCAAGCAGTTGACTTAATGACACATTTCGCCAAGCAGTAGACTAACAATGGTTAACCCATGGTTTGACTTCATGTGCATGGAATCAATCAAATGTACACAAATGTGGCAAAGTTCTTACTCTGTGGTCTAATTCACCTATTGAAGTTTGCTGCAAGGCAGGTTACCAACAGTCAAACGCACCCTCATGTGCATCAGGGGATCAGAACTATGAGTTGCTGTGGCGATGTTTGACATCATACACAATCTGACAAAGCTTTGTTTTTTATCCAGTTGACAACGTGCACGTGTGACCAGCAAACTATGGTTGGTCGGTCTGCTGGTAACAAATAGCCATGCACATCCCAACGTGCAACAGGTGGCCAGGACTGCGAGTTGCCATGGCAATGTCTGACCATAGACAATTCAACCAGGGCCAGTCAAATGATTCACTGGAGTACAATGAGGTTTAGCATTCTCTAACAGCAAACAGGAATCACCAAGGGATAGGTTTACACTTCTGGACAGATTAGACGGGTTCTTGCTTGCCCTCTAGCATTTGTTTGTGGAGTCCACAGACTTGTACAATGCTTGACTTTAGAGGAAACACTGACCACTTTTCTTGCAGAAAACTGGCAGAAAAGTTTCAAAAAGGAATTTAGAAGATTGTAATCACTGTAATACTCGTAGTAGCAATCTGAGTTTTCAGGAATGCTCATTTCCTTAAAGGGCAAATCTTGGGGGATACAGCAGACCGGTATAAAGTTACGCAGTGATGGCCATATTTGTTCACTTCCTGGAATTTCCCAAACTTTACAGCAGCCCTACAACAAACTGATGTCACAGTCAACTATTTAGGAGGGGGCGTTTGGGGGTTATGAGTTGGGGGTTATGAAGCCTGATTCTCACTCTAAACCTACACTGCTATTCAGAGTGAAAAGCCCATTTTTATTTCCCAGATGTTTGGGGAAATTTCAGCCATCATCTCTACACTCCATCCGTGAAAATGTCCAAGGCTGTTGGATAAAATGGAACCTTCTCAATTGGGTACCAATTAGTGAACTGCCCTCCACCTCAGTCCACGCAAGAGCAAACTACTTACTTTTACTAAGGTCCAAAAACATCTCCTCGATGCCTTTGTTGAGTTTTGCTGACGTTAGGTAATGTTTTGCACCAACTTGAGCAGCATAGCTACAGGTAAAATGAGTAGGGAAGTGAACACACAAACAGAAACACAAAAAACATAAACTAATCCATGACACACTGCAAACTTCTTCCTGATTACTTTATGTATTCCTAAACTTACTTGTATCCCAGGATGCCACACGAATACAATTTGCGTTACAGAGCATCCCAGAGCAAATTTTATCACCGACAGGGGTCCAAGAATCACACAAATTGGTCAGTAATAATGCACAACACAGACTACAGTTTTCAGAACCCAGTGTGGCGTCATTTTACAATGTCCAATTTCACTGGCAGCAAACCCCTCTGCTACCCTGTCACATTAAGCAGTCCAGAATGACATTCCACACCCCCTCTAACATTCTGCCGAGATATTTCATCTCAGCATTTTACCTTGATTTATCTGAAGTGTAGCTACTGCCAACATGGGGGACGCCCGAGACACTAAGGAGTGGCAAACAAACTGGTCCCACATGACCAGTCCACTACTGTTGACATCATTTTCAACATGCACATGTTAAGCTCCAGAGTAACACAAATAGTGGACCAGTAAGTAATGTAATGTTTGCTGCCACCAAGTGTCCCAATGTCTCTCACTGCAATTTAAAGATTTCGTTTTGAGGAACATTAAGCTTAAATCAAAGAGAAATTCACAGACTATAAAAGTTAGATTGCTTCATTTTATACTTACGCCTCTGCCTCCCCAATGGACACATTTCTTTGTTTTTCAAGATCTATCTTGTTTCCTAAAGAAGGAAAAACAAACAAAACATTATGCTACAGCCCCGAAATAATGCAACGATCAACCCAAAAAAATCAATCAAAATCAACAATAACAAGTATTTGTGAGATTTGAAGTTTCTTCATGGTGAAGGTGGCAAGTTCAGTAATAGGTTTGCAATAGCACCATGCAAAACTGTCTCAACCCAAGGGTGCTCAAGCAGAACAGGGGGATGTAAGATAATCAGTGAAGTGTGTCCGTCTGAAGGATGGGGAGTGCGGGGGATGGTTGCCAAGGGTAAGGGAGTAAGCATTCTCTCCACACCCCACCGCCTCCATGGCTACACCAATGGAATCCCCACAGTCTCCTGATGACGGACAGAGCATACTCTCCGAAACGTTGAGTACAGTTGGGTTCTTTTCAGAACCGCACATTCACAAAAGACATATTTCGCATGAAGCTCGTACCAACTTGTTACATAAAAAATGGTTTTGTCGACAATACTGAGCTTTAGAATGAACGGAACACATTTATTCAGTGACTCACCTGCTATACAAAGACAAATTTCATTTCCCAACATCTTCTTCAGCTCCTTCACCCAGTTTTTGACCTGTAGGCAAAGCATGAACATCAAATGTTAAATCAAAGTGCATTTTCATGTCACGGCATCTCAACGCAGAGACAATGATGATGACTGTAGGGCTATTATGTAAAATATCTTCTCTGGAGGGACTATGAGCGCCGAACTGGACCAAGAGAAGGCTCAATCTTCCTGGCCACAAAGGCTCCTTTGGTGGGAACTGCACTTCACCGGTCCACAAATGACTATGAAATGCACATGACACACTCCACTCTGTAACAGATGACATCAGCCATTTTGTGCCCTCAGCTGGACACACAATAGCTTCTGACAACCATTGACTACACATTATATCCATGTAGTGTCCTGTCCAAAACTACCCTTGTGGACAAAACTCTCCTTGGCTTTTTGGTACTGTGGCATACCAAGTATAGGGGCTTTGAAGGTAGCAGGTATGAGCAGAGTTAAGTGCCCTATGACTTGTCAGAATGGTTTAATACCTTAGAGAATGAGTCTTCGTCTGTGATATCATAGACTAATATTGCCCCATTGCTGTCTCTGTAGTAGATGGGTCCCAGTGCATGAAACCTCTCTTGTCCAGCTGTGTCCTGCAAACGTAGATAAAAAATCAATCACAAGAATAATAATAATAGCATTTTGCAACCATAAGTGAAACTGAATTGATAAAAAACTTACCCTTCAAAAATGCTTTCCTAGAAGTAGGAAGCAGAATGAAGATAATGGAATTAACTTGACGGAGAACATCAATTATTCCCCTGAACCTGTCTCCAAATTCTGTGTCAGTGTCCATCCATTGAATGAGGAGCATAATGAAATGTGAAATCATTTTTTCAGTTATTATGGCATAAACAAAATACATGCCAGTAATTTCCTGAGAGCAGACATACATGTATACGTACCGATACTATCATTCTGATTAATAATAATCCAAATGGTTTATATACAGAATGTGTGGCAATGCCTGTATGGTAAGACATGGTGCACAGAGGCAATCTCACCATCACCAACTTACATGTAGATCTCAGATCCTTCCAAATTCAGTCTTGAAATGTTTTGCAGAACCAAGGAATATATCGGCAGAGCAGAGCCATTGTTTAGCTCCACAGATGTGACAAAAAGTTTAATAATGTGCACTTGGTGTCCTCCACAGTGAACGATTAATGATTTTGAAGGTTTCTAGCAAAAGTAAGATTGTGCCAAAACTACATCCTTGTGGAATTTGTGTTTAACTTATAAATTGTAAACAGCTCAAGCCCTGGTCAAAAGTGCCACATACATACCACATGAGTATCAGTACAGACTCAAGTTTGATAGCTAGAAATACAAATTATCAAGCCAAACCCATCAGACCAAAAATGGTATCAGTTGCCGCTTAATACACGGGCAACCAAATGTACTGAGTGTGGGCCTGATTTTTGAACTTTGACCTTTTCAAAGATCCTTATCTAGGGTAGCAGTATTAACCAGTTACATTGCATACTCACCCATATTGCTAAATTAACTCTTTTGCCACCAATGTTCAGCCTCTTGTTGAGGAAGGATGCCTGAAATTTGAAGCAGATCATAAAGAAATGTCAGAAATGAGGTTTACTTTTAAAATGTTCAGTACCTAAAAAATGCTGCATCTATGGTTGAGAGGCAAAATGCATGCACATGTATACCTTGCAACCACATTGTGATGATCATTTGGGCTTTCTGTAGTTGAGAGGCAAAATGCATGCACGTGTATACCTTGCAACCACATTGTAATGAACATTTGGGCTTTCTGTATATATTTTTGTTTAGTTGGTGTTAGTGTTAAATTCCAACTTTGTCTACTGCCCCAAAAGTTCAGTGCCTACTGAACTGGACTACTCTCAAAAGTGGTCAGAAAGCAAAACTTTATCAAGCAAAAGAGCACAAGCAAGCACGAAGTATCAAGAAATTATACTGGAAATAAAGAAAAGGAAGTGGAAAAATGCAAGAGGAAAGGAAAAGAGGAGAAAGCAAAATCTGTGGACTGTAGTGATATCAGACCAAATGATAAAATAAATGGCTATCTAGGTAGTCCAACCATGACACAAAAACCTTCAACAAACTGGCCACAGCCCAGTTTGTGCAATGTTTCCCTGTATATTATATTCTTCTGGATTCCAAACCAATTCACGCAAGTTGGGCATGTCCAATCGAATCAAAATGTCAACAAAATTGGGCATGCCCAAAGTAGGCACTGAACTTTTGGGGCAGCAGACAAAGTCAGAATTTAACACTAACACCAACAAAACAACAGCATCATGTCATCACGAATCTCAAATCATTTAAGTGAATGTTACACAGTCCTACCACCAGATCACCAATGCAATGTCTGAATGTCTTTGGCGTGGCCTACCACAGGGGGTGTTTATTACCTTTAGCACCCTGTTCCTATAATGAGGGAACAAACTCTACTTTGAGGGAATAAACTCTACTTTTTCGAAACAGCTTATCTAAACAAGTTGTCGGTGATGTTGGCTTTTGGTTTTCGAGAGAATTTTTTGGGGAAAATGACAGCATACATGACCGCCCAGAAAAGCTGTGAACGATGACAAATTAGTGAATGTAGTCTGGCTCCTTGACCTTGATGGAGATATGTTTTGATGAATCCAAAATGCTCGAGTCGGGTAACCAGACGAGAAACAAAATGGCGTAATCCAACAGAGCAGTTGTCTTTTGCCAAAGTCGGGTTAGAAACTTAAGGTTTTCTTACTTAAATATTGTCAAAATTTACTTAAACTAGGCCTATCAGGTTTGAGTAATGGTCCTTTCAGGTCAAAATTTTAGTTTGAGAAAATGGACTTTTGTTTCCTTATTATTGGAACAGGGTTCTAAGGTAGGCCTAATGAATACCCCATGGGGGCCTACTAAAAAAATAGGGGGTCTGTGAATTTGGGGACCCCAAATTTTTGTCATTTTAATCTGTGCAAAACTGGTCATTCCCCGTAAAACCAATGGCAAAACTGTCTGACCTGCCCTGACCCTGTTTTTTGGGAAATTCCAAATTGTAAATTGTAAGAAAATGTGACTTTCCTTCTGAGAAACCAACCATGCAAATTTGACTCTACCACGTGTCATGTGTTGAAACACCCACAGCTTCCCCTAATATTTTCCCTCAAAACCCTGCTCTCTTTTCACAACATCAACCCTACAGTTATTGAGCATGATTTCACAGTCATCTAACAAGGGGAATCCAAAAGTTAAAATGTAGATGTCCCTTCGTTACAGGAACAGGGTCCCCAAATTCACAATCCTCTAAATTTTCCACTAACAAAACACCATGGCATTGCTCATGGTCCTGGTCCGAACTAACTGCACACAGGCCTAGCCCTAGTTACATGAAGGTCATTCTGCAATAGCCAGTAAAATTGAGAAGTCTCAAAACCAGGAAATAATTTACCTGTAATGTTGAAAGGTGTTTGTCGTTGAATTTGTTTTCAACATAACGCAGTACAAGTGACGTTTTCCCCACACACCCCTCGCCAAGTAAGACGACTTTGAAATTCTTGCCTCCTCCACCCCCTGTCGCCATTTTTTCAGGGGAAATTTGAGTCAGTACTCCTTATAAACACTAATAATGATTTGTGGGTGTTCAAAATCTTCACTGAAATCTTCCAATCGGGGCACTTTCAACTGTGATTATCACACTCGCTCAGGATACGTTCCCGACTTCTTGCATGTTGAACGAGTTCAGTCACAAGATGGCGGCCTCCCTTGTTAATGTGACGTCACTGGTCACATGAAGCTGTTTCATTGACCCGGGGCTGGGACACAAGGCGTTCGTTTCGACGCAGTACTTGGCAATGGACACGATGATTTATTGTTGTAGTGAATGCCCCCATTTGATTGAAGTGTGTTTGCAGCTGGGAAGAAGTCACTCTTTCCCTCACAATAAAATCAATTTTTGGTGGAGACCTCGCTCCCTCTGCGGTCTGCATAAATAGGGGGCGCTGTGCTAGTCTACAGGTACTGCTGAAAGTTCACAATTCAGCATCAAGGACCCCCCCAAACTATTTCGAAAACAATCGACTTCAGTCAAATTGCATGCCGAGCGCATCAGCGAAGCATTTCATGACACAGCAACCAGAAACAAACACTCCTAGACTTTCAAAGTTTATTCTTAAAAATAATCACATCTGACACTTCATTACACATCACTGACTTCAAACTCCTTAGAACTATACTTTAGCGACACATGCACTTTCATATTGCAAGGGACAGTTGTTAATATGATAATCACCAAACTTGTTTGAATGCAGTGACGAGAAATGGATTGGATTTACTGGTGAATGTGACTTGAAGGGTTCATGGACAAGTCTCCTCATGACAAACAGGACATACTATTTGGACTGCTTGGAACCGGACAACCCACCATCAAAGAGACTCTAGATCAGTGGTGCTTCACCACAAATGCCTGTATAGGTGGTATCTTTTCATATTCCATAGACAGGGTGGGTAAATGTGAAGTGGCAGACAACCTATCACATCGTTTTTTTTCGTTAATTTTTAACAAGATGCAACTGTAGTAGTAGTTGCATTACAATACACTTAGACTTTTACCAAAATGTGGTGAGGTCTCACTGTAATGTACAGTAAACTGCATTTTTTTTTGAGGAAGGGCATCACAGTGAAGTGGCAGACAACCTATCACATCGTTTTTTTTGTTAATTTTTAACAAGATGCAACTGTAGTAGTAGTTGCATTACAATACACTTAGACATAATTTTCCATTTTTCTTTCTCTTTTAACAGAAATTTGGATACTTGTCACTCAATTGAGAAAAGAAAGGAAATTCAACATTCATAAGACTTTCTGCATGTCTTCAATGTTTCAATGGTAATACATCAACAAAATGAAAGGAAATGAGGTGAGTCAAAAGGGGAACTACAATCTCCACAGTCTCATCATGAAGTGATTTATCTGAAGTACGCATACCCCTTATTTGCCGCATCATAAATTGAATGCTCAGAAACTGCATGAGTACCATGGGCCCTAAGTCCATGATGTGAACTCAAGTCAAACTCAAATCTGTTGCGTGGGTGTGCTCAAGTCGATTCGTGCATTCATGCTATCATCTCTGCCAGAACCCTCCCTGGCTTGACTACCACGACACGTACTTGAACTTTGTGAACTCAGGACTTCTATTGTTATCTGTTAATATTTTGAGGGCTTTTACCAAAATGTGGTGAGGTCTCACTGTAATGTAGAGCAAACTGCATTTTTTTTAGGAAGGGCATCACAGTGAAGCCATGCAACGTTTTTGCCAAAAAATTACAAATACTGAACAACTGTGAAATAATTGATTTCACAAAATATGCAGTGCCTGACGTTGATTTGTGAGAGTTAAAACAATTTGTTGCCTGGTTACCAATACATGCATGCACACCATCTGAATGGGTCAAAACATGTAAACATTAATAAGGTATACTTACTAACCATGTCCTTGCAAAAAAATACTTTAAAAACAAACAAACCCAATTCTTTATCGCATAATACACTGGGATGAGTTTGTTAACCTGACAATGATGGCTTTGGTTCATCAAATGAAACCAGATGCAAAAAGACCGGAAATAATAAATATTACTGAGGACTTGTAGGTAAAGAATGCACCTAGGGTACTGGAAAATGGGGAAAATGCACTCAAAAGAAAAAAAATACTTTGCAAGCATGTACGCTGTGCACATTCTTTAACACATGAATTGGCTGAAGGTTTGTGCACATTCTGCTGAAAATCAGTTGTTGAATGTTACACAGTGTTCATGTGTAGAACTTGACTTCATGCGTCTGCCCACAGCGCACAAAAAAGCTCATGCACAGGGCCTATAGTACTTTGAAGAATATTTTGTTTGCTGGCAATCATCAGTTTGAATAATAACCCAAATCACATCTCATTATATATGTTGCCACTCTGCCTCTACGATTGCTCAGTCTTGAAGAAACCCTCTAGCCTGGTCGTCACTCGTTAGCCTGGTGGCCAGCGCATCTGTCGTCCTCCAATAACATGGACATGGAGGTGGTAGATGGATTGGGAACCATGGCGACCGTCATTCATCACTAGTAAAAAAGAGAAACTTTGTGAGCATCTTAAAAACTGTTTTCCAGAAAAAAAAGCCCTAATCAGGAAGACAGCCCATCCAGGAAGACAGCCGAATTAGGAGCACAACTGGTTCAGGAACACTATCCCTCCATTAATAAGACCCAAGTAAGAACAAAGCCTGTTCAGGAACATGATCCAGTCAGGAATACCGCCCAGCAACTCACATGTTCAACTGAGAACAGGCCGAGAATGCTAGTTTATGCATGCTTACTTGTACATTTGCACTAGAGAAAAAAGGAACACACGTTACCAAAACCAGCATTCCAATTGATTTGTATGTTGTGAGCTGTATAACGCTTCCTGAACACCACAACTCTCTGCAAGGAAAGACGGCCAAACCACTTGACCTAAACAATGTTCAACACATGATTATAATACTGCATGGAACAAGGACTCACCGATCCTGAAACCATCCTTCAGTTCTTCCAGGGCAGCTACTTTACGTGCCACAGTCATTAGATGTCCAAGAAGCTATCCAAAATAAAATGAACTGGCTGTGCAGACAGTAACATTTTAAAATTCCACCAAAATGTATTAAACAAAGCAATCAGAAAGAAATCTTCCGAGTCCTAATTATAACTCAACCTTAAATCTTTCCAGGCTATATATCAGGGGTCTAAACTCAAAGACAAATTCACAATGAGCCAGTACGGTATTCCAACAACGCATCCTAAATGAAGCGTGTCCAAGGTCATTTGAAGGAGGGTTTGAGTCCTATCAGCGTGACCCTATGGAGACTCGTACTAGCGCTTTGTTCTGCCCATGCATGTTTTGTGTCAAAACAAAAATTTTGACATCTTCAACAAATAGTATCCAATCAGCTTGTTCTGGAAGAGGAGCTACGCTTTAGGGTGAACATGTTACAGTAGCCACAGGCAGCAATTGAGTATGTTACTCATATCAACATGAGTATACTCCCGAGTGCACAAACGGCAGAAGTATGACTCGAGGGTAGGCAGAGAGGTAGTTGTTGGTTGTTCATACAATATGATGCAAGAGTAATGTGCAATGCAACATTTTCTTGCATCTGCAAGTATCAAGAGTAACACATGAAAATACAGCCCTAGATAGATACTCACAGGAGCATCGGAATCAGTGGATTCACTCAGGCAAGGAATTGGCTTGCGCGGGATGACAATGATGTGAGTTGGTGCCACTGGATTGACGTCCCGAAATGCCATGCACTGTGAATCAAATTGGAGTCTGTTATAACAATAACATTTATATACATCATCTTTAATGAGGGTAAGCTCCAATCAGGGCACAACTTTCCATGGAGGCCTTCAGATTGTGGGATTACAAGGACACCGCAGGTGGCCACCAAACAGCCCATGTTTGTTGAGAGGTGTCAGTGGAAAGCACGTACGGTTTTCGAGGTGGGAGGAAAACCCCAAAGGAATATCCTGAGTAAAGCCCATGGAATCAGGTAGGAGCTGAAACCCAGTCCATGTGTGGACCGAGCCAGGAATCGAACTCCGCCCACAGAGGCGGAAGGCAGGAAAGAACCACTACGCCAACCTGACCTCCCCCCAACGTCATTTCTTTGTGTTATTCAATGGGTAAGGCCTAGACAGAGAGGTGAATGGACTGACAGACTCTATCACAACTTAAGAAGTTGTAACATCACCAAAAAACACCCAAACCCATCCACTTCAATGTAATCTAATGTGTATTCATAAATTAACTGACTTTTAATATTGTTTAACTGCCCTGAAAATGAATTCCTACAATTAATGGATTCTGTTTGACTCTACAGGTTGCCGAGACCAAGTCCAATGCTGTGAATACACAGAGTCTCGTACCAACCTGCTCATCTTCATAGATTGTATCAGCCTGGATATCCCCACTGATGATCTTTTGGAAGACGTTGGGTTTATCCCGATTGTGTCGGCGGGCAGCATCTGCAGCAAGTTTCTCTTCGGAGGATGATTCATCCGAGGTCAGAGATCGCAATTGCTACGCAAAAAATAACCTTATTTGAACAAAGTATATATGTGGTGCTATAAGTTGACTTGTCAACAAAACACTTGATCTCCCACAGAGATTTATGAACTTTATCTTCAGTTTTGTTTTCTATGGTGTGTGCTTTGTTCTGGTTTTTAATTTACTGTTTGATATTTCATAGAGTGTATTTTAACTATTTTTTTAATGTCCCCTTTTGATTTAATCTTTATTCTGATCTAGTCTCTGGAAGCTGCGTTTTAATCCAGCTTGATGGCTTCTACAAGCGGTATTCATTTAAAATATCCTCCCCCCCCACAAAAAAAGTATAATTAAAAACATTGCTCGCTGTTGTTTTTCTTTCTCTGGACATGCAGTCATTGATCAAATCTGATGTCAGGCCAAGTTAAAAGAAAAACACAAGAAAAGGAGGTGTTCTATTTTTAAAGAAAAAAGAAGAAAGAAATCACGGCACTTAATTTCATTTCCTGGGTACTTACGCAAAACAAGGCACCTCTCGCTCTGGCAACGTCTGTCAATCGCTCATCGTACACTGATCTAAACCCTGGAAATTTTCCGTGTGTCCAAGTTCGAGCAAAAATCTGGCGGAGCGCCATGACTGATCCTGAACGTGCGCGGTACCCAGAGCTCACAAACGAACAACAATGCAACTTGAAATATTTGAAATGGGTCGCTGACTGACTGGATGGCCGCACTGCGGTAATTTTCTGCTGCGCCCGCTGCGCTGCACGTAGGCACGTACCTGCACACTTGCACCTTGTACCTCGCTCGTTGTTACAAAGGGTGGGCGTGGGCGGATTTTGGATGTTGTTGCGTGGAGGAAGGGGGGATTATGATTAAAGGTCAAACAAATTTAAGACCCAGCACAAGGGGAAATAAAAACTCTGCTGGCAAACGATGTCAACACACATATATCCCACCATCAAAGGCAAGAAACAGATACGTGTGTGTGTAAGAAAAACATCTGTTCATGATCAAATGTTTAATGAATACACACCAGGCAGTGTAATATACATGTATGCCAAAAGTGCGCATTAAATGTTCAATTTGTACATGTTACAGATGTTAGGCTCACATGTAAGACAGTTTCTACTTCACTTAACTTTCCAACGTAAATCCATCCATTAACAGTGATCAACTTATCGGTCAACTGTTTGCATTGACTAAAAGACTGGCCGACCAATCCACAGTACAATCGTACTGCCGACCAAAACAAACACAGATGGACCAACCCACTAAAAACAGACAGCCAGCCTCACGCTGACAAACAAAATGACAAGAGAGGCATTTCTAGGCACATATCACCGACATTTTAATAAGCAGGGTTCACAGTTATATTTTGCTATACAAATACGATAGCAATTTGTTAAAATAGATATGTTTTCATTTCTGGAAGATGTTACTATTGTACATGTTACATGTATATACAAAATACCATAAAACGACAGATATTTATTGAATGTGTTGTCTTCTAAATGTATTCCTTTGATCCCTAGTGTAGCCACAACTATATTCTCTGTAACGTATCTCTCTGTTACACCATTTCACCCACATAAACACACAGCATACATGAACTTGAAAATCCTATTAACGCCAGAAGATCAGTATCCTGACTTAATACAGGCATGAAGAAAAGAAAACTGCAAACAGAATGTGACAGTCGTGTTTGTTGGGAAGGTATCGTTTTGGTTCATTCTCATAGCAGCTATTTTTTGTATCGGTAGACTAGTCCCCTATCCTGAAAGGAGTTTCAAAAGTCTGGTAAGAAAAGATTTGCACTGCCAATATACTGGGAAAAACCTTTTTAAAAAGACTTAAGTCTTGAAATAAATAAACAAGTCAAATTTCACTTATTATGTGCATGATTACATTATACTCACACTGTCCAAAACATATCCATGCTCTCCATCTCATAGCCGTGTATTTTCAACCCACTTTCACAGTTAGGTTCAGGCACATGACAACATTAATGACATTAACGGTAATCCTCTGCAGCCTTCAAAAGCCGACAGCTTTTAGACTATGACGGTTCCAGAAAGGACAAGCAGAAATGGCTAGGGAGTTAAAATTAAAGGGACCCGCACGATAATGGGAAAGCCACAGTCCATGACTGATGGCCGTCTCCAATGAATGCAACTGTGACATAGGCATCTCCAACTACCAATCACTAAACTTCAAATCCTGCCTGATTAGCCATGTTGCCACATTCATTAGAATAATAAGCACCTCCCTCTCTAAACCTGAGGTATCATTTCTTCCCAAAGGACACCTACACCCCTTATACTGTTTCGGCAAAATCTGGTTTTAATACTCTTTTACTAATAGCTGGAAAATACAACACTGGAAAAAAATGAAACAGGACTCTCCCGCTTGCAACTTATTGGACGCCAGTTTGAACTCTTACAGGATGACTGAACGTAAGAAAAGAAGTCACCACTAACTTGAATGTTGAATAAAACCAACTGGCTGGCATGTCAGTACTCCCCTGACAAACTCCCATCCTCGTCCCGGGCAGTCTGCTTATCATAGCAACAGTACTCTCTCTTGCAACTGTAGCCAATCTCTGCATAACTTAGGTGGTTTGAAGTTTCTCGTGCTACTTGCCTCGCATGTTAGTTCAACATAAGTGTGAATACTAGAACCAGGTTCAAGAACAGCAAATGCTGATGACGATGACTTAACTAGTCTTGGAGAAGATGCCTTGATATAACTATTCTCATCACCTCGCTTGTACCTGGCAAAGGACAAAGAAATCAAACGATGACCTCATTGATGTTTGATAATCAGTTAAAGCTTATCCCTATCCATTCTGAGTCCAACAAGCATGTGCATGTTTCAATGGTCCCTGGGGAATAAGGTTAAGATAGGTGTGTTATACAGGTTATCTAACTAACTCATATATGTTTCGTTAAAATTAAACATTTTTACAAGCTTTCGGGATGATGCTTGCGGACAAGAAACTTCTTTTTGTTGCGATGCAAACAGTTGGCTTAATTGCATCTGTCCCCCGCCAGCAGACAATTTATCATTAACCATTTCAAAGACAAAAGCTGGTAGATAATGGCAAAAGATAAAATTGAGACGCATTCTAGCCCTGCCAACAATTACCTTCTAAAATTTCATGAACCCTGATGTCTCTCAGGTATTGTTGGATGGGGTAATCTTTTAGATATCCATAACCTCCAAACATCTGTAGTGCTTCATTACAGATCTGGAAAAAAAAGCAGGTACAATTTCTCATTTCTTACCAGGAAAAAAAAATCCTGCATAATTCACAGCTCAAAAATCACTTGCCAAATCTATAATTCTAAAAGAAAAAAGCTTTTTCAAAGTTCAACTTCATCTTTTTCAATGTTAACTTCATCGAACAATGCAAATCTTTGAAGAAAGCTGTCCACAATGCTTTGGGTTTCCTTCGCAGCACTATGATAGAAGTTAACCGTTCCCAGCACCATTAACAGAGAGAGTGGTTGTTTAAAACTCAAGATGCAATCATTTCTTCACTTCAAATGTCAGGTCAC